CGACAACAGGGTCCGCCAGCGCACCCCGCAAATGTTGGCATTTGTTATTGCGCACAGATAACGCCTGCCAGAGTCCGAAGTGGCCCCCGTGTTGGTCCAGCGCATCTATCACGTGGCCCGTTTTGAGGGCACACACACACACACACACGACAGTTCGACCGTCGATTTCGACGATGTCCACCGTGTGCCCCACAGCTGCAGCAGCGGTGGGAGCAGGGACGGTGACTTACGCAGGGGTTTATAGTGCCGGTAGACTTGCGTAGCATCTACATACACTCTCTCCTCCTCCGTCGCCTGAGCCCGGTGTCAGGACAGAGTCAAGAAGACCGGAGACGAGGGAGGCCGCAGGTGGATGACTCGGACGGATCCTCACCTTGGCGTTCCACCACACCCCCTGGTCCACACAACAATGATCAGGATTTCAACCAACACAGCAGAGATTTGGAGGCTGGCACGACCGAAGCCGCACCTGGGCGTGCCGCTAACGCCTGGCTCGGATCCCACACTGTGGTAGGAGTGTCATAAAGGCCACATTAAAAAGGAGCCATTGCAGCCTGACTCTCAGACCGCCTCCAGTGAAGGAGGAGGTCCAAGGTACCCCGTCAGTTGGCAACCTTCCAAGCCACGGCTTTTAGCGCACCGTGATAGCTTCAAGCTCGTCAGATTGATTATAGTGAGGAGAAAGTGCGCTGAGTCGTCGACCTCACTCTCCCTTCCCACTCCCACACCCCAGCCGCTGTCCGAGCCGGTCAGCAGACTGGAATGGGAAGTGGGCGCGGTGGCTGTCATGGTCGACGGACCATGACTGCGCGCGCCACAGCACGACCTGGCTCCCCATACACACAAACACCAGAATTTCACACAACGGGGGTTGAACGGCGTGACTCTCACTTGCGTGAGAGTGCCGTGGAAGGTGCTGTTGCAGCCCGTCCCCAGCCCACCAGTCCGCCACTACACACAACACACACGCACACAAAGTGATGAACTGCGTGAACCGAGAGCGGGCCTCAATCAGCAACCTTCCTATCCACGACGCTTGACGTGTCGGGATAGTCTCGGACACAAGTCACCCGTGCAGCCGAAGCCGCATGGGGACCGAGTCGAGATGCACACTTCCCACTTGCGTGGGAGGCGGCAGTTGAGTGCATGAGGTGTGTGGGGGTTGATGTCTGGTGGGGTGATGGTGTAAGGAGGTAGGGAGCGGGGGAATGTGTGGTGTGACCGGCGGTTGTCTACCGCAGGTCGTTGTGGATGCGCATGTGGCCGAATAGACCCATGCGATGCCTGAAGGTGCGAGGGCATTGTGGGCAGCCGAGGCGAGTGCGGTGGGTGTAGGTTGGTGCTCCAGGCACTGGTTCGCCAGTCTCTGTGCGATGGATTTCCAGGTGACCGACCAGGCCGATGCGTGAGGTGAAGGTGCGTGGACAATGTGGGCATGAAAGGTTGGCGGTGTCGGTGTCGGTGTCAGCTGAAGAGGAAGCAGTGGTGTTGATGGTGGTGGCGGTGGTGGTGGTGGTCGGCACGTGTGACGGTGGAGCGAGGATGGGTCTGGGCGTGGTGGATGTGTTGGATGTCGTGGCTGTATCGGAATTGTGGTCAATTCCGCTCTCGTGGATCCGCATGTGGCCGAATAGGCCCATGCGATGCGTGAAGGTGCGAGGGCAGTGTGGGCAGTAGAGGCGAGTGCGGTGAGTGTAGGTTGGTGCTCCAGGCACTGGTTCGCCAGTCTCTGTGCGATGGATTCGCAAATGACCGACCAGGCCAATGCGTGAAGTGAATGTGCGATCGCAGTGAGGGCAGATGTAGCCCTGGCCCTCACGTCTGATGATGGAGGTTGCAGGGGTTGTGCCTGTTGTTGTGCCAGGTTCGGCTGTGGTGAAGTCGTGGGCGACAGACGCCGAAGCGGCCGTCGTTGTGGCAGTGAAGGAGGAAGAGTAGGAGGAAGGGGAGGAGTGAGGGGTGGTAAGGTCGGTGGCGTCGATGTCGGCTGGGGAGTGGTTAGTGGGTGCACAGGGTGCACAGGGTGATGGATTGGGAGTGGGGCTCGGCGGGGTGGGTGTGTCAAGGCTGCGGTCAATTCCGCTCTCGTGGATGCGCATGTGGCCGAATAGGCCCATGCGATGCCTAAAGG